CCCAAATTTTAGGGCAAATTTTTATTTTCTATTTTATACATAAATAAGATTATACATTTCACAATCTTATTTTGCTCACTCTCAAAAGAGAGGCTGCTTTTGGCCTTATGTTGATATATATGAGTCATATATATCAACATAAGGCCAAAAGCAACCTCTCTTTTGAGAGTAAGCAAAATAATGGTAAGAAAATTCATGAAGATTTTCAAATGATCATCACACATAAGTGATGGATGGGATGACAAACTTCATGCCCAACTCCTACCTAATTCATTTTGGTCACGCTTTTTATCACCCTATCAATCGATCATAATATGATGCATTTCATCGACACCACTTTAAAAACTCATAAAAAAAACTAACCGTCAAATTTGCACATAAGAGAAATTTCTAGAATATCGATCTATTTATTTTGGCTTGCTCCTATGGGGTGGTTTACAATAGGCTATAGGCTGATTAGGGGTGTAAATGAGTCAAGACAAATCGTGAGTTGGCTTGAGCTCGAATTGATAAATAACTCGTGAGTCGAGCTCGATAAACTAATGAGTCTACCGAGTTGGCTAGTTTAAGAAATATTAGCAAAAAATAAATTTAAAATATATTAGCATCAAGTATTTTAAGTGCAAAATTATTTAAAAATTATATCACATTTTCTTATATTAAATTATTATTTATTATTTTTCTTCTTATTTCTCATTCTTTTGATTACTTAATCATAATTATTCTCTCTTTCATAGTAAATGAGCCGGTTCTAACTCATAGAGTAAAACTCAGAGCTCTCTAGCTCAATATCAAATTAGAGATAACTTGGGAAAATTATTCTGTGTGGACGCTAAATGCAGTTCATCGTCCGAAGACCAATCAGAATGTGCCACATCAGCGGTACCGAGCCACGGTACAGAACGGATGTGATGTGACGTATTCTAGTTGATCTCTGAATGATGTTCGGCATCCACACAAAATAATATCTCAATAACTTAGAGAGCCTAATGTTCATACAAAGAGAGATTTTTATTCCAGACACTTCTATGCTATGTCAGGAATGCATAGAAAGCTTGGGGCATCTCTTCTTCTCGAGCAATTAGTACGTCCGGTGTCCGAATGCGTTCAGAGACCAATAATAATGCTCCACGTCACCTAAAACTCTATATTTTGGACTCGATATTACTCGGTATACATTCAGACCGTTTGATTTTTGATGGGATGTAATAATTTCTCCTTCTTCTCAGGCTACAACATTCCCTTAAGTCCTATTCTTTAAATTCTTCAACATGATGCGGACAGGATTAACTGCTCAAAAACTTACAGTAAATTCCATTTTCTTTCTATCTATTATATTATTTATCAGAATTGGAGAGAAAGAAATGGGAGAAAATATGAACAGAACTTTGCTTCCACTTCCGCTTCCCCCTTGCTTGCTTAAGAAACTGAAGAAATGGAAACATTGCATGCTAAGATGTTGAAGATATATTTTCAATGTTCTTTTATTAATGAGCTGGTTTTGGAGGAATTATTCTCTACGGACATCAGATCGTCCGGAGACAAATCAGATAGCGTCACATCATCCGGTACATGACAGTACATATCACCAGTACATAGAAAAAAAGTGATGTGGCGTGCTCTGATTTGCCTCCGGACGCCATCGGGTGACCGCACAAAATAATTTTTCCTGACATTGATGCATCTCTCAGGATTTGTTTGAAATGACTGCATCTTTTTATAAATGTGGTTATAAAAATGCTACAGACAAAGTTATGTTTTTTTAAAAGATGTCGTCGAAAGCACCTTCCAATCACAAAAACTTCTTAAAAGAGATGCCAAAAACACTGTCCCAAATGAAACCTTAATATTAATTGCGTTGCATTTTACTTTGTATTTTGCATTTGACAATTCGCAGGACGGTGCTTTTGGTATTCATTTGTTATATAGATTTTTTTTTTTTTTGTTGATGATGATATGGCTCAAATTTGTGTCAACATCCAGAAGTCAAGACATGTTATTAAAATAATAATAATAATGATAATAATAATAATAAATAATTAAAAAAAATTCTTACCCTCATTTAATTCTAATTTATCAAGATCGGTTCAGCCTTAATAAATTTTAGAACTGTTGGGTACGACTTTCTTTAATTTACAAATAACCAAATAGATTTAAGTAATAGCGTAGAAAGTTAGGATGTGCTAAAATTAGTAGCTTTCAAAATCGTCAAATTGAAGATCGTGAATGAATTAAATGAAGCCAATTTGAATTAACTGTAAATTAATTATTTGAATATAATTTACAAATAATGCAAACAAATTTATTATTTAGTATGGTTGTCAATTTGGGTCAACGAGTCGGATTTGGGTCCAACCTGAGTTGACTCAAGCGTAAACGGGTTGACCTGAACCCAACCTGAGTAGCTAAATAGGCTAGGATTTTCAACCAAATTCGACCTGCACGGGTTACCGAGTTGACCGGACCCAACCCGCGAACCCGATTAGCTAAATGGCACAAGTGGTGGCCGATGAGGTGACGATCATTCGAACACTGGTGAGGCCGAGGTGCCGAGTGGCTAACGGTGGTTGTTTGCCTACTCGACAAGGCAAAGACGTTGCACGCTTGCACTGCGGAATCCTGTAGGCCGGCCGCCGTCAGATGAGGATGGGACGACTGTCTAGTTGTGGCAGTTAGGGGTGACAACTTTTGACACGACACAAAAATTGACCTGAACCCGACCCGAAAAAATCCGGGTTAGGGTCAACCCAGACCCGAAACGGGTCGGATTCGAGTTCAACAAACCAACTAGTTTTAAAATCGGGTCGGGTTCGAGTTGACCCAGCAACCCAAAAATGACCCGAAATTAACACGAAAACTCCAATTTGACTCGGAAACCCGAGATTGACCCGAAAATCGAAGATTGACCCGATTTTGACCCAAAAAATAGTAATTTTAGATCAACTTCGGGTCATTCGTGTCGGGACGGGTTGACCCTAACCCGAATCGGGTCGGTTTAGGGTTCGGGTCCGAAAATTTGACCCGTTTTAAAAACCGGTCGGGTTCGGGTTGACCCTAACAGTGCCAGGTCAGTTCTGGGTTCGACCCGAACCTGACTCGGGTCAGTTTCGGGTTCGACCAGAACCCAACCTATTGACCGGAATTGACACCCCTAGTGGCGGTCTAGGACGACGCGCGGATGGAACTGCTGGCCTGAAGCAACGAGACGGATATTAGACGCGCCGACGTAGATGAGACTGTTGGCCTGATACACTGATGACTAAGGTGCTGATGTGACGCGATGCAAGGTAGACAATTTCCCGGGTCAACCCGTGTTAACTTTGGGTTGTCTGGTTAACCCGAACCTGACATGTTTTTAAAAACAGGTCGAAAACTTGAACCTAACTTATATAACAAATGGGTTGACGGGTCGAGTTCGAGTCAGGCCAGATTTTGACACCCCTATTATTTAGACTTTATTTGAGACAACTATCTTATTGCTTAAAACTTTTTATTTCGAGTAAAAAAATTTTTGCATTAAAAATTAATTTAAAAACAGTAAGAAAAGTTGTCACACAAATCGGGGCTTACAATAAAAACTTACTTTATATGCGTGATGATGGATTAAGGTGGATGAAGCACAGAGCAGCTAACTGATTGGGTTGTTCCAGTCAAGGATATACATAAATATATATATAGACATTTATGCAAAGGGATATGCGGCACTACTTATTGCTTAGTTTTTAAATAAAAATTTTTATTAACCAAAAATGAATGCGATATTTCTTGTAATTAGACTTAATAAACCTGACTGAATAATTAAGTTGAGCTTATCTAATTTTTATTGCGTGTGAAGTTTGTATAAAAAAAATGTTCACATAATTAACCTTCTCTGCAAAATTTTCACATGAATTAAATGTGCTAATCCTAACAAACATTTTTTTTTTTAAGTTAATTTATTTCAATGCTTCTTAGCTTATATCTATTTATCATGAAATTATTGTTCAACAAAAAGAATAAATAAGAACAAATGGGCAAAGGATTGTAATTTGGTAGGGGCGGAACCCCTTTAGGTCAAAGGGTGGTCATATTTTTTTTTTTAATATTATTATATAATTTTTTAGGTAATTTGTATCCCTCCATCTTTTTTTTAAAAAAAATTTTATTACCAGATTTTTTATGCAATTGCTCCCCTAAAAGTTTTACAATACTATCCTCTTTGGATAATTGCCCCCAACAAATAATAAATATAATTCATCAATTTATTTTTTAAGTAAATAAAATTTGTTCGGGGGGTGGGGAGCGCTACCCTCGGAAACCCCCATAGAGGCGCTACCCCTTGACCCCACGATTTGATGGGTAAGTCAAACCCCGCCAAGGGGCGCTGCCCCTTTGAACCCCTGATATATCTGTAAAGCGTACGACGATCAAGGATATGAACAAATAGGGGTCGCTATTGACCCCACGATCAAGGATGGTTCTACCCTTGTAATTTGGTGATGATGATTTGAGGATCATTATAGTTAGACGACAGAGATCAGATGATCATAATTAAGCAATAGTGATTAGAAAATTATAATTGAATGACAGAGATTGGATTATTGTAGTCGAGAAATTTTGAGTATAAAAATGATCAAAATATATTAGTAATCTTTACTATATAGTATTTAAGATGCAATGTATATTAAAAAATATAACTAGTATCTAAATTTTTTTATTCATTCATGTTAAATAAAAAAAAAAATAGAAGAAGTTAATTATAAAAAAATCCTTCCATGAATGTGACGGCCTTAATAATTTTTGTTATTTCAGAGCTAAAGATTACTTGATCAAAGGCCCCGTTTATAATTAAGATGATTAACGAGGTGATTAAGCTGTTTAAGAAGGCTAATTAAAATGGAATTAAGTTATTTGCTTGTTTGTTAATTGAAACTTCTTCAGTTGTTTGCGTCTTACTCATCACAGCTTCCATTTTTTACTCTATAAACATATCTCATTGCTATATTGTTTTTATTCTATATTTCTATTATCATGAAACTATTAAATAGTTTTAAAGTGAGAAAATTTCTTCTGCGTCCGGTCTTCGCCTTCACACCTCCCAAGCTCCAAGATTCCAACCTCACGGCTTCCATGGCAATAGTCTAAACCTAGGGTTTCCCCCTCCCGAATCTGAGGTCGGTTCCCACCGCTTCCATCCTATCTATCTTATTTTTCTACAAAGCAATCGATTACTTGCGGTCTTTTCTTCTTACAAGATTATCTGGATTCCATCATCTTCCCGTTTTTGGTAGTGGGATTTTGAAGATCTCGCACCTGAGATTGATTTAGGGGTTTTGATGAGCTTATGAGCGTTCTAGGAATAGATTATGGCTTTTCTTTTCTTGATTGACTTGAAAGGAAGGATTCTGTTCTATTTCAGCTGTTGAAATATTGGGGGTTTGGTTGGGAATTTGAGATATTGGGTTTGGGATGGAGGAGGTGGAGGGGGCTAATAGGGCGGCCGTGGAAAGCGGCCACAGACTTCTTAGCTTGCTTGCGTCGAAGGCTGAAGATGAGGTCCAGCATAGAAGAAACGTAGCCGCGGAGACTGGGGAAACTGTTTCCAGATTTAGAAAGTTGGCTGCTTTGCTTGGGAATGGTGTAGGACACGCGAGAGTAAAGAGGGCGAAACTATCTCCGCAACAAACTCCATTTTGTCATCAAAAGCTCGTCTTAGATTCCGCATTAGCCGCAAAGGCCAGTCCCAGTGCCAATTTGTTACCAAGAACGGGAGATTTGGACCGAAGAATCTTTCTTGAGAACAAACCAGTGCCGCAAATCCATTCAGCTCATCCGAATCCTGTCCAACTTGCCACGCAGTTCCAATATCTTCATCAGCAACAAAAGCAAAATCATTCGTTCCAGCTTCAGCAGCACATCAAGTTCCAGGCTGAAATGCTACGAAGAGGAAATAGCGGTGGCATAAACCTCAAATTTGACACACCGAGCTGCTCACAGACCATGTCATCCACAACACGATCATTTTTGTCATCCCTGAGCATGGATGCTAGTGGGAGTGTTTCAGGGTTAGATAGCAAGTCGTTTAACTTGATTGGCGGGCCTCAGTCATCGGAGCCATCGAATCTGCACTCGAATCCACGGAGGAGGTGCACTGGAAGAGAGGATGGGAGCGGAAAATGTGCTAGCAGTGGAAGATGTCATTGCTCGAAGAAAAGGTTAATCTTCAGTAGTTATTTATATAGATTCACGTTTAAGATTGTCATAAGCAGAGTTTCATTGATGGCTGGCTATTTGCTCTTTGGTTGCATATTTGTAGGAAGTTGAGACTGAAGAGATCCATTAAGGTTCCTGCCATTAGCAATAAGCTTGCTGATATACCTCCTGATGAGTATTCTTGGAGAAAGTATGGGCAGAAACCAATTAAGGGTTCTCCTTATCCTAGGTATAATGAATGCTATATTTTTACTTGAATTGCTAATTTGGTTTTATTAGGCATTATGCTCACTGTTCATTGCTTTGTTTCATTGAGGATAGGATTGAGATGCATAAGTAGTTTAATTAATGTAGGAATTTTTATATACTGTAATATCCTTTCATCTTATTTTAAAATGTTAAATAAATGTTGTGGTATGGTATGAGAGCCGTATGTCTCTCTGTAAACATGTGGCTTGTAAGAGTAATGGAGCTGTGCGATCCAGTTGAGATTCATATAATGGTATTAGAGATTTTTATGTGCGGATTCCGGATGCATCCGGAGGTCAGTCCGGACGCGTCACGCCATCCAATACATTGTGAATTGTGTGACGTGGTGTGTCTGGATTGAACATCCGGACACGTCCGGACACCGCACGTAATAATTTTTCCATATTAATGACTGGGGAGCTTTTATCTCCCATTCAAGTCAGTAAATTATACACACTTGGGACATGGCATTGTCTAAACCATATATGAAATATTTTAATTACTTTTTAACGGCTTCATTGCTTTCTTATGCAGATGCTTTGAGTTGAAATTTTTCTCTGTAATAATTTTATAGTTGATCTTGTTGCTAAGTGACCTCTGCTGTAACAATTTAACCACAAAGTGCACAGATTTAATCAATTTAATAGTGAAGTATTTTGGTTTTGTAGTTGCACCTGAATGAAACTCCAGAGCATTATGTTTCCCTTTTGTTAGAATTTTACCTTCATCAGTTTTTGAAGATGTGATGAAATATTTGAAGTATTAAATATCTATATCTTCAGGGGATACTATAAATGTAGCAGCATGAGAGGCTGCCCTGCAAGGAAGCATGTGGAGAGGTGCTTGGAAGACCCTTCCATGCTTATTGTTACTTATGAAGGTGAGCACAGTCACAACAGGTTAATTACCCAGTCTGCTCAGACCTGAAAACCATGGAGATCATTTGCAACCATTTTCTACACGTTTATCTTCCGTTCCAACCATTTGAGCATCCTTCATAGATGAGTTTGTTCCTCAAGATTCCATCTTTGATGCAGTATTCAACAGTGTATCTGTTGATGTTTTTGAGGTATTTGGAGTCTGCGAAAATATGTTGCCATACATCCTGGGTCTATCTTTCCACCATTAACAAAGCAACTGCAAGAACTCTTTGAATGATGAACCTTTCTTTCACTTGTCTAAACTTAACCTGCCCATAAACTTAACTACAAGGTCATCTTCTTTGAAATTGTTAATGATGGCCTGTCCAAACCATACACAGAGATATCTGAGGCTGTGAAATGTACTTTGAAGTTAAGTTAATGGTTGCTTTTAGTGTTTACCGATCTGTCATATTGGTTTTACTTTTTCCCATGCCAGTTTTTTTTTTCGCCTGCTTGCTTAGAATGTGCAACTCTGGTTTTGTTTTTATTTTTTTCTTTCATGTAAATAAGAACATTGTGGTTGTTCATGGGATTTCTTAGTTATATTTGACTGTCTGAATTGATATTTATCAGCAAATTACATTCAAAGTTTTTTATTTTCATAGATACAATTGCTTTCTTGTATTGTTTATCAAATATTTGTTTCTTCCAGTTATTTGTCTTATGCTCCTAGCGCAGGAAGAACATTAGAGGTTCTGACATAATATTTTTCTGTAGAGCTTGATCATGATTATTGCTGTACTGTATGTTTGTATGTCGTTTGATTGCGTCAAATATTTGTTTTTGAAAACACTGCATGTGCTTCTGTACTTCAGGTCGATTTTGGTTCTCTCCGAATGCCAAGGTGGAATTTTATGCTTTGAAATTAGAAGTTTTCTGAAAACACTCTGTCTAAAACTGGTGAAATTATTCTGTGGGGATATGAATGCCGTTCGGAGGCGAATCAGAATGTGTCACTTCACCTGTTTGTTGTATATCATGGCTATATGCTACTGTGTACCGGGTGATGTGGCCCGTTCTGATTTGCCTCCTAACGGCCCGGTCCGGTGTCCGCACAAAATAATTTCTCTTAAAACTGATAAGTTCATTGGATATGATTTTGTAGATGTTTTATGAGTCCATTCATATGTTTGTGAAGATCATAATTGTGAGTATACCAAGGTTTTCAGAACCGGACCGAACAACGAACCGGAAGAAGGAGAGGTTCACGGTTCGACCGGTCGAACCGGGGTCGAACCGGATGACGTAATAAATAATAATATTATTTAAAAAATGAAATAAAAATTAAATTTTCCTGTAATTTATTCATTCAACATTCTATTTTCATAGCTCTTAATTCAAATAACATAAACATGACATCAATTAAGTTTATGAAATATAAACAAATAGCATATAATATAAGTGTCTCTTCAAATAAGTCAATAAAACATAAATAAATCCATAGCTTTTGTCATCACACAAAATGTTCATAATTTAATATCAAGTCAAGCTTCAAAATTCAAACATAAATATCAAAATAAATTTAGAAGTCGTCTCCTAGATTTGAAGCATCAAAAGTTATATCCATAAATCCTTGTTCATTAAAACATTCCCCTCCAAAAGCATCAATATCTTCATTGCGATTCATTGGGAGGTCGGACGAGGGAGAAGAAGTGAAGAAGAAATCTCGTTCGTGAAACCTCCGTCGGGATCGTCCGAGGCTCCGAGTCTCCGAGTCTCCGAGTCTCGTTCCGTCGTTCGCGTATGCTAGGGCAGACGAGACGAGCGAACAAGTACTTGTACCAAATTACTGATACCCAGTTATCTAAGCTGTTAGATCGTAGATCAAGGGCTCAAATTACAGCTTTAACGGACCAGTCGGTTATTTCAGAACCCCCCGGTTCAGCGGTTCAACCGGGATTTCAACCAGTTTTTACCCGGTTCTTAAAACACCCAATTGCTCACTCTCTTCGGACCGCCTGCCAAACCGGTTCGCGGTTGAATTGGCCAAACCAGCCGGTTCGATTTTGAAAACCTTGGAGTATACTAAAATTTCATTTGGGACAGTTTTCTTATTGTTTTCTTAAAACAATTTTTTTTTTTTCAAAAATTTTTTGTATTAAAAAGTTGTTTTATAAAGCAATATAAAAGCTTTCCCAAACAAAGCCTAAATGAAATTTTTTTTATAAGTTTATATTTTAATTAATTAGTTTTTGACCTTTTTTATGATCTTGTTAAAAGAGTAGATGTATTAAATATGACTTTTGTTTAAAAAAAGGTGTAGATATATCTAAATGATTTGATTAAAAATGTTTTTTTTTTCTTATTAGAGAATTTGACAAAAATTATTTAGGTAGTTGATCTCACGTAGTGTGATAAAAGTTAGTTGCAATGATTTTTCATTACAGGTTCTGTTCATTTTATGTGGTTGAGGAGAAGTCTGATAAACTCTTACCTTCTTTGAGTAAGCTGCTGAATTAAATAATGTAACTTAACTGGAAACTGTATTGAGGTTGACCGGCTCTGCTATCTTATATAACTTTATACTTTCATAAATACCATTAAATATCTTCTCTACAGTGAAGCTAGCGGTTGGATTAGGGGTATAAATGTGTCTAGTGGGGCGAATTATTACGTTCGGTTACCTTACGTCCGAACATCCAATCTAGACACTTCACGTCACCCAAATACATTGGGGCCAGGTGTATTTTGGTAACGTGATGCGTCTGGATTGGTGTCCGGACACCAGACGTAATAATTCGCTGTCTAGTTGAGGAGAAATTATTAAATGTGGTCATCAGATTGTTCGGTGGCGAATTAGAATGTGTCACATCATTCGATATACATAAGTATATATTAAAATGATGATGTGGCATATTTTTATTCGTGTTTGGATATCATCCTATGACCGCACGTAATAGTTTCTCATAGTTGAGATGAGTTTTTGCTTAAGTGAGCTAAATTTATTTAATTTTTATTGAGCTCGAGTTCGGCTAGAGCTCATTTGGTAAGTTTGAGAGCTCGAGCTCGAGTTAAAAAAAAAAAAAAAGTTAAAAGTGAACTTTTTTTATTCTTAATATCTTATTTAAAATTTAGATTTGAAAAGTTAATCATGTTAATATAAATAATCAATTGAGTTAATTAATATTAATTGAGCTAGTTTAAAAAATTAACGAGTCAAATTGGGCTTAATTCGAGCTCGAATTTGTATAATATATAATTTATGCTTTAACAATTTCAACTGGCCGTTTAATTGTGGAAAAAAAATGAAGAAATTTGGTAAATCTTGTATCAAAAATATTATTTTATTTTCTCATAATAAACATTTTTAAATTAATTATTTATTTTCTTGTTTAACGTTCATGAAAAATAAATTATTATTTCTTAAAAATTTAAAATATATTTTTATCTACAAGCAAACCAAAGGATGAGGATTGTGGACAACATCTGCATTTATTTCTTGGGAACATAATCACTAGGGCCTCAAAAGTAGCAATATTCGCCTTGAAAAAGAGGAGACGCCTAATTTCCACATATTTGGTTGACTTTAAACTTTTGACTGTGATGAAAAAATGCCCTCATTTTGTTTTATTAAGCACAAATAAAAATTTACCATATTATAATCATTTTTTTTTAACCAAGAAAATGAATTGTTTGAAATAATTTCATTTGCATTTTGGCAATAAGAAAAGATGATTTGTATCTACCACCAAACATCCAATTTCTTTTGAGTATTTGATGTTCAATTCATGCAAAGTAAAATGATTTAAAAAATAATTTTAATTTAGGATTCAATCATAATCACCCTAAAGGAATTAAATGATTAAAATGTGAATTATATTTTTTTACTTGTGATATATCATCAAAAAATTATATTGATCGGGTATGAATCTCGAAGCAAAATCAAGTTAGAAACTTCAAAAAGTAAATTCGGGATCATATGAACACTAATTTCAACAAACTTATAGTCGAATTGAATGTCTCGAAAATACGACACCAAATTCGACTCAATCCAAGATCAAATGGGTCACTTGAAGCGTATTTAGAAGCTTGAAACAATAATTTGGATTATCAAATGGTTTCAAAACATGACATGCTTATGGTCGAATCGAGCGGCTCGACGAGATGAATCCAATGAGCCCAAGGTCGTCGATTTCTGATATCATTAAGACATTCAAACGCCCAGTAAACGATCCACGATCAAGGGATTTAATATCGTCCGTCCATTCTAACAACTCCCAATTTACCCTTAATCTCATCCTTATTTACTGGTTATGCCACATTTAGAAAATTATAAATAGATCCATCATAAATTTATGATCTTCGTCGCTAGACAACTGTCTTTCTAACCCTCGACACTTGCTGACTACAATCGTTCCGACTTCCAATGCCAAATAACAATCCTTCCGACCTCCGTCCCTAGTCATCGGTCTTTCTGACATTCATCGCCCGCCGACTACAATCCTCTCAACCATCGTCACCCGACTATGTCTTTATGACCTATGTCGTCCGCCAATTATGATCTTGCTGACCAAACAAACATGTTGATACTGACTCTTTCAAGTTCCACCATATAATACACTCTATATGATGTTTATTTGCGACATATAGCCAAGATCTTCCCTCCAATGAAGGTCTTTATTTGCAATCAACTACAAACACTAGTGTATTCATTCAAACTGGGCTAGACCCTATGATTTTTCTCTCTTTTTAGGGGTTTCCACGTAAAAACTTTGGTGCCTCTATGAACAATACACCATCTCTTTTATCTGATTGTGTGTTAGATCTTCGAATAAAGCTAAGACGTAAAACTTTATATTTTTCCATCGCCGTGAACATTACTAAGAATATTTGATTTTGATCTTTTAAGAGACTATTTAGGATAGCTTTCTTATCACTTTGGTTTTCACACTTTTTAAGTACAATGTTCCAAATTGAGGTCACGAAAGAGAGAAAAATTCATACACCTAAGGTTCAAGAGGATGATAAACTTTCTATATAAAAGTTCTTGAGAACATTTTTCTGTTTTTGAATCGAATGTAGGGGGCTAAAGGATAGCACATCAGAATAATTGGTTGAATCCCTTCATGTTATGGAGCTCATGACAATTACAACGGTTTCTTCAAGAATCATCATAAGATTGTCAATTACCGTAACTTTTCCCACAACAGCTTTACAATCATATTTATAAAAAGTTATAGCTGTATCGAACATATTCAAAGACTACTTTTTAGGAAGTTTTTTTACTGCTTTTATAGCAGCTTTCTAACCCAAAAAAAAATTCTTTGGAAGCAGTGAAAAACAGTGACATAAAATTATCATAGACAATGTTTGGGTCAACTTTTGGTTTTTTTGCTTATTATCTTCAAAGCTTCTTTTTCAAACATATAATTTACACAGCTCATCTTGGTCTGTTAGTTGGGAGCTTAGCTATCAACTAAGAGGTCTTGAGTTTAAGTCTTTTGTATGCATTGTGTGTGTGAGTCTGCCTTAATTGACCTAATTGTCCCAAAAAAAAAGAAGCATAAAGTTTTAAATATACTTAAAAAAAAAGTTTTTAAAGATA